CCATTTTGTAAGGTTTTTAATGTGAGTAAATCTTATATTTTAGAATGATGTCTATTTCCGAGTAAAATGCAAATTTAGTCATTACACTAATTTTTTCGTCCTCTACAAAATTGTTTTTTTTAATATCGTCTCTTATGTTTGCAAAAAGGTTACAAAAAAGTTCTTTTGGCAACAAAAAGGTCCCTTATATTTTGTAAAAAATGTTGCAATTTCGTCCCTTATGTATGATCGAAGACTTTTTTTGCAAACATAAGGGACGAAAATGCAAAAAACAATTCGAAGAGGACGAAAAAGTTAGGGTAGTAAAACACACAAGACTAAAATTGCATTTTACTCTTATATTTCCTTTGAAAAGTACTTACAATCTTGCCACTAGCCTTGCACATAACATGCATGTAGGCCTTAGAGCTAGGCTTCCATTCGAACTTGAACAACGGCGTGGGCTCTGCCCGGAGCAAATTCCGAAGGCAATACCTAAGCGGCATCTCTGGCACCACCACGTAACTTTCTGTCACTGGGAACGAGTGGACCCACCCAGGCGCGGGCCCCGCCCGACAGTCGACCCTACCTAATACCTTCCTCTCGTTCGTCCCAGCCTCCATCCTCACCACCAAATACCCTGGATTCATCAGATCTGGCAACAACGTCAAAAACTCATTCTCGGTCACGATTGGGTGAGCCGAGTGTATGAGCCCACCTAATTTGTCACTAAACTCGAATCTCCCCAACGTGTCCAAAGTGTCTGGATCAACCATAATCGAGCCTTTCACGGTTTCTGTCAGGCAAACCACGCGCCCGTCTCCCAATCTAACGACTCCAGTGTTGGCGTTATCGGTCAAAGAGGCGCCACTGAGTAGGTTAGCTAGGTCGCCAATGTAGGCCAACAGATTGTTGGGCCTAATTGGGACCTCGGAAAATTCTCGGTAGCAGAGCTTGTTGTGGGCCTTGGTGGCCTTGTATGCGTCGGACTCGATTTGACGGTGGGCCATTGTGAGGCCGCCGTTTTCAAAGTGGAGGCGGACAAGGGTTGCGTAGCCGTCAAAGAGGTGGCGGAAGTTGTAATCTCCGATGTGCCATAGCCCTGGTCCGTTCCTTAGGTATGTCCCATTCTGCATGGGAACTAATTGTTTAATTTGCCATTTCTAGTCTAAAAATGGTCAATATTAATCTATAATGGCATAAACCCACTTGCTATATTTTGATTTAGAAAAATGTTATAAGTATATAATAAATGTACATAGAGATGTACATAACAATCACATGGAGTGAGGTCTACTTGATTTTTTATTTGAAAAATACTACAAGTACATAATAAATGTATATAAAAGTGTACATAACACTCACATGGAGTAGGACCTACTCAATGTGAGTGTTATGTACACCTCTATGTACAATATTATGTACCTATAGCATTACTCTTTGATTTATGAGTCCCTTCCCATAATATTTATCTTTATCTTATAATAAATACCAGAAATTTTATGCCAAGCAACATGCATTATTGGATACAATAGGTTAATAATTATTTTTATGAAAAAATAAAAAACAACTGTATTAAAAAAATAAAACATGCATGAATGCACATTTACCAGCCAGTTTGGGATTTGTCCTTCAACTTGAAGCTCTCCTTGCCATCTCTCTTGCTTAACACTTGTCCATGCAACGAGCTCCTGATTATTCTCAGTTTCTTGTTTCCACTGAGTATCATAAACAGTTGGTTTTATTGCAACATTTGATTTAGTCAATAACCCTGGATTTTCAGATAATTTCGCACAACAAATGTTTTCCTGAGTAGGAATGTTAATTGTTTTTCCGAGTGAATATGATTCGTGGCTTACTCGATAGGACGACTTATTTTTATTAGGGATAGTATGAGGTTTGATGCAAGAAAATGCAAGGGAAGCCATTGATGTAATTGTAATTTTATTTTATAGTTCTATGAAATCGATTAAAGTATGGTGGTTGAGACGATATATTTATAGGAGCTAATATAATTTGGTGTATTAATTAATATTTTGTTTTTCCCCCCGAATTTATTTAGTGGAATCGTAACTGGTGAATTCCTTTATGCTAGAGGACATGTACATGAGGGGTCTATATAATCATGCATTATCATTGTGGACAAAATAGTTGATATTTTATTTTTTTTAAAAAAACAATAATAATTAAAATGGTAATAACCAGAGTTTTCCTTGGTTAAACTGAAATTGTTACAATTGTCTCCACTAAATTAGATAAGTCTAAGAATATTACATGTATTATTTATTTTTTTAAAAAACAATAATAATTAAAATGGTAATAACCAGAGTTTTCCTTGGTTAAACTGAAATTGTTACAATTGTCTTCACTAAATTAGATAAGTCTAAGAATATTACATGTATTAAGATTTAGTTCGTGGCCTATTACATTAATATTCTGGGTTTGGGGATCTTTTATGAATATAAAAAATCCCACTTGCACTAAAAGAATGTAAAGGACTCGTGAAGAAATTTGGTGTGATATATGTTTAGTTTTGTTTCTAATGATTTGATTATAACCAAATGGAAGTTATTGAATTTATTTCACATTAAATATTACCACGGATGTAAGTAAATATTTGTAAGTTATTTATATGCATGTAATATTAAATTATAAGTTAGATAATAGTACTACATTTTAAACATAAAGTATTATAAGTTATATTTATGCATATAATATTAAAATTGTAAGTTTCAAATTTGTTCATTGGTTAAAATTATAAATAGTACATAATAATTTGATTACGTAAGAATCACTATATTGATTGCATAAAATGTAATAAATAATGTAATATTTGTAATTTTGAGGGATCATGACCAATTAATTAGCTTAAAAATAATAAATTTATTATAATAATTTCTTATACGATTTTAAGAAATTTTACTTTGACATTAAAAAAAATTAACTTATATAAAAAACAATCGCTTAACCAGATAAAAAAAAAATAATATTGATTTTAGAATAAATAACTTGAACAAACAATTTTTGCAATATTATCTTTTATGTTTATGTACCTTTCATATATCATTTAGTGTAAAATATAGTTACTAATTTTGATAATAACTATTATATAATTCTGTAAAAAAATATAATTATTACTCAACTAATATAAAATATTTTATCATTAATGAGATAGGGTGGATTAATGTCACATATATAAGTTTAAAATTTGGTCATTGGTTAAAATTATAGATAGTGCATAATAATTTGATTACGTAAGAATCACTATATTGATTGCATAAAATGTAATAAATAATGTAATATTTATAATTTTGAGGGATTATGACCAATTAATTAGCTTAAAAATATTAAATTTATTATAATAATTGCATATATGATTTCAAAAAATTTTATTATGACATTAAAAAAAATTAACTTATATAAAAAACGATCGCTTACATTAAATATTACCCCTCCCCCATTCCCCAGGCGGCAAGAAATCCAAACACCTACAATTAAATTTGTGTCGTCCAAAAATATAAAGCATATTTAAATTATACTATAGGTCTTCAACTTTCCTTATGCAGTTTATTATTTTACTTTTCTCTTCCCTTATTTACCTTACTGATAAAAACGCTAATGTATCACATAACGGTTGAAATTAGAACACAACTACAATAATAATTTATAAATAAAATAACACTTATTTTTTTTCCATTTTTTTTAATTAACTTATATAAAAAACAATCGCTTAAAAGAATTTTTTGAGTGCTGACTGTTGATTGATCGAATGCTCTTCCAACAATATCAAAGAAATTTTACAATCATAGTTCTACTTTAATTATGAAACAATAATTTTTTTTCCTATTAATTTTATAGTTAATTCTCTGTAGTTGCCAGCTCATCACAAATTTAAAATATTTCCATTTTCTTTAACGAAAAAAGCGTTAAGGTTAATTATAGTCAAAATTAGTGAGTAAGTAACGTGCAATCGATTAAGAAAAAAAGTTATCGTGAAACAATTTCAAGAATGCAAATGGAAATTGAATTAATATATTTATGAAATTATGTACGTGGTGTGGCCGTTCATTGTGGTGGAGGAACGTAATTTTTGTTTGTGTGGAGGTTAAAACTGGAATTCAAAGTTATGATAATAGCAAAGTTGATTTGGTGAATGATGATTTTCTTAGTCCATTACTCCTTCGGGAAAGTGGTATCAAATTGGCCTTCTGCTTTTATTTTTTATAAGACTACTAAATTTAGATGGACTACCAATTATGTTTCCAAGTGTGTAATTGTCTGCCACCTGAGTCTACTACACGTCATCCTTTCTTGTCACATTGAGATCAAATATGTCATTCTTGGAAAATAACACAGGTGAAATTTTGAAATACTCCCTCCAATTTTAAAATGATTAGACATTGCCCCATAATTACAACAAATTTTTTAACAAGGGAAAAATGAGAGTGACATTTGATATCGCTTCAGCGTATAAACAAGTCAGTAATGGCTTTGTTATAATTAAATTCATGAAGATTGTTGGTGATACGACATGACTGAATCAGGGAAATTATAAATAAAGAATGATATAAGCTAATTAATTAATAAATTAAAAAAAAAAATCATTAAGCTCGGCAAAATATTTTATTTTTTCGAAATGATAGAAAGATCTCATAGTACAATATAAACAAAATACCTACAAGCGATGAGCTAACTAATTTTTAAACACAAAACAATATGGAGAGAACCACATAAGACTGCGACCTAGAACCACCCAAACCACCACTNAAAACCAACACTATAAATTACTTCATCTGGAAGTGTTTTACTGGAATTTTGCCCTCACTCTCTAATCTGTGCAAGAGAGGTATCAAGGTGGACTGCATCTGCAAAGCTTGTGGTGACAGTGTGGAAACAACTGAACACATCCTTTTCAATTGCCTAGAGCAAACTGGTTTGGAGGCAGGTACCAGTGAAATGGACAGCTGTACAAAATGATGTCATCTGCTTCAAAGGTTGGTGGAAAGAAGTTTGCTTGATGCACTAATGCAAAGAGGCCGAAGATAGAATACAACTAACCACTTATATCCTGTGGTGGTTATGAAAATCAAGGAATCTTTGGGTCTTTAAGAATCAAAGGCAGATTGAGAGGATGGTGGTGGAGGGAGCTTGTTCTGAATGGAGAGAATTCTTGGTGGTGGAGGGAGCTTGTTCTGAATGGAGAGAATTCTCTTCTGCTTGTTAATATGTCTTTGTCTTCTTTCTTCCTTTTTCCCTAGCTAGGCTCTATGCAGTGGCTAGGTTGTATTGTTTTGACAAATGGTTAGTCTCAAGGCCTCAGTATTCTATACTGTCCAATAGACAAACTATTTTGTCCCTTTATCCCTTTCTAGGCCATCTTGCATTGTTCTCCATTTCTTTGTGAGGTGTTGGTTTAGTCCTTGTGGGTGCTCGTTTTGTTCTGTTTCTTTGGTTAGCTCGGTTCTGTATCTTTATACTCTATGTACTATGTTTTTTGTTAATGCAATATATTTCGTTTTGGATAAAAAAAAAAAAAACACTATAAATTACAGGAAAATACAAACATTTTACTCCTTTATCTCCCACACACACTACACAAGTAATAGAACAACTAGAGCACAAAAAGGTTTAAAGGTAAAACAAGAGCATAGACCACTGACTAAAGGATATATACCAAACTCTCACCTACCGTTAAACCCCGACCCTCCCAAGTTTGTAGCTAAAAAATACAAACCAATCAGCCAGAGCAGTTCTCACAACCTCAGCTTCATTCTTTCACTCCCTCCAGAACACCCACAAGTTTCTTGTTTTCTAGATCTACCTTAGCAAATAGGTGGACAGTTGGATTCTCTCACCTTAGAGTTCTCCATGGAAGACAGCCACCACCAGTCTCTAAAACATTGTGCATGTTCCATAGAGCCACCCCCAGTCAATTGGTGTAAGTTTCCACACTAGTTTAGCCCTGCTACAAAGAAAGAAAATGTGCTTGGTGATCTCAGGTGCTTCACTACAACAATGACAAATATAATCCACTTTAAGACCCTTCTTCTGTAGGCTTACACTTGCTGGCAGTGAATCAGTAAAGCACTTCCAATCTAGGTGTTTTATTTTGCCTCAATCTAGGTGTTTTATTTTGCCTTAAACGTCCAGATTCCAACATCTAGCTCTTGCTTTCCTATCATTTCCATCAAATTTGCTCCATTCTTCCCTATCAAACTTCAACAATTTTTTAATCATCAGTGTAACGCCCAATTGTTTTTAAAACAAAAATACCGAATTTTTTTTAAAGATCGGAGTTAAATTTTCGCAAATCATTTTGAATTTGAAATTGATTAACGGACAATACTCAATCTAAACTCAATATATAAGCTTAAATACCAACTCAAGCCATTGGGAATAAACCATCCCGAATCAACATTTAACCACATATTCAGACCATACATAATATGGCATGCTCATCAATAAGATTCGAAAACAATATCATAATACTTAGTTCAAAACCAGAAACCAAGTCATGCTCACCAATTCAATTCATAATCGAAACCTATACTTCAAAGCAATCATATAAGTCTAGCAAAAAAATAACAGTAAGTGGAAGCATAAAAACAGTTCATAATAACAGATAATAATAACCCCACTCACCCGTCTTGTGCCACGTCCACCAGATCCACCTGAAAAGGGGGAAATAGTGGGGGTGAGCAAATAACAAGCTCACCGTGGGAATATCATGCAGTATAGTCAATATAATGACTTAAAAATCATAATTGCAGCATGGATATAAATCACCTAGTCTACCTCCTATACAACCGTACTATCTCATGTGTACACAGCTCCTGTCGGCATAACCCCTCGACAGGAGACTAACCATTGGTGTAACCCCTCAGTGGGAGCAGTACTGAAAAGGCATAATAATAGGATGCCACCGGCATAACCCATCGGCGTATGAAAAACGCATAGACTCGTGGTTCACATGCATACATTGATTATCAAACCAAGAAATTATAAAGAATAAGGAACATGGTAAGGTTTATCAACACCCACCTGATCAACAGACAAGACGATAAGTAGCACACAGGCTCGAATAGGTTGGTGAGACTCGACTTCCTCAGAAATCTACATTTAATCAATCTACATTTAATCAAGATAATATCTCAAAATACTTATCCCGATAATTCGAAAATTTCAAAAATTCATACATAGTAAAAAATTATCGATTAAGTAGCTCATTGAATTTTGTGAAATATGAAACTCTCGGATTTAAGGGAAATACTTGTAAAAATATTTTAAAATGGCTAAAATAAGTTCGACATGTAACACGAGGTCAATGGTTCGAAAATCGGCCAAACGGCTCGGGAAAATGGATCTCGAGGTCACCACATCAGCACGGGTGCAGCAGGTCACGGGCTGGCCATTAGTGGCTCGTCGGGGCTGCTGGGCCCAAGCTGTTGGCAGTTAGGTGCTGTTGAGCGCGGCCGGGGCTCGCATGGTTGCTGGCGGCTGTTATTGGAATCGCTGCTGGGCTGCTGGTCGCAAGCTGGTGGATGGTGGGCGCGCTGAGGCTGGACGGCACGCTACGGGACTCGGCTACGGGTGTCGCGGGTAGACATGTCAAAACGGGCCGGCGGGGCGGGCCAGCCCGCAGCCTGCCAAAACCCGTCTTTTGGNCGACGGGCCTCTAAATGGCCAGCCCGGCCCAACCCCGCCACGGGCCGCAGGGCCCGAAAAAAAAAAATGTATAAACCAAATAATAAATCCGTTCAATAGAACCTATCCAAATTCACACAACAATCCAACTTCATTTTGCCCCAAATCTCTCAAATCAAATCAACGTGATTCAAAAACCGTTCTCGTAAATCGGGTAAGAAAAATATGCAAAATTCTCGGATCAATCGGCCGTCTCCCTTGTACCTACCCTGCACAGGAAGCTATCGCCGGACGGAAGCCGCCTCGCCGCCACTCCCGCTGCCGAGTCTCTAACTCTCTAGCTGACTCGCCGGTGACGAATCTCTCCCTCTGTAGCCACCTCGCCGCCGACGGATCTCTCTCTCTTTTTCGGCATCTCGCGAGCCTCTCCTCTCTTAGTTTCTTGCCGACGCCCACCGGTTGGAAGCTGCAGCAGATCTCATCGTCGAGCTCGCCTATTCGGTTTGGAAATTCATTTTGTGTATAAGTCTGAACTGTGAGGATTCTTTTTTCTTTTTTTTTTTCTCTGTGATTGCAAAATCTAAAGTGAAATTGTGAATGAAAATCAAATTGTTACTAAGACCTAAAAGAGTTATTTATTTATTTATTTTATGTAATGAATCACTAATGGGCTGGCTTTTAATTTTTTCGTCTCTTGGGCCCTTTGGGCTACTTATGTATAAAAGTCACTAAATTTTTTTTAAACAAAATAGGCAGGCTGGCCCGCGGCCCGCCCCGCCAAAACCCACGGCCCACGAAGGCCAGCACATTTAGGCCCGCTCTTTGGCGGGCTTTGAAAATCGCAACCAAACCCGCCTATTAGGCGGGGCAGGGTGGGGCGGCCCGCAGGCCCAGGCCCGTTTTGACAAGTCTAGTCGCGGGGCTAAGATGCGCGCATTGGTATGCAGTACGTTGCTGGACGTTATTGCTGCGGCCTACCTGCGTCGCTGCAGGGGCTCCCCTGCATCCACTGCGCAGTCTGCCGCCTGCCGACGTCGCGGCCCGCGCGCACGACTGCGGCCGGGCAGCAGGGTATCACAAATGGTCTCGGTTCAAGGGGTTAAGGATCGAGTTTTTACATGAAATTTTACAGCATGAACATGACACAATAAGGGACCAGCATGCAAAAATTTAAGATCAGATCACGTCACAATTATTTTATAAAAAATTTTGAATGAAAGGCATCAATAGGGCTTAAAAAATTCATCATAATTTCCTAGCAACTCCACTCAATCAAGGCCTCAAAAATCAGTTCAAGGGAACCAAGGGTTCCAAATTTCCACCAGATTTTCACAAGATTGAACTAAATTCCAAGATCCATTGATTTTTTTTTCCCAATAAAATCAAATAGATCTCAATTCTTAATATTAGATCTAACATCAATACCCATGGATCTATAAGCTTGCACAAAAAGCACATAATTTCAGGGGGGTTCAAGCCATATACCGGCCTTCAAGGAATCTACAAGCTATTGGTGGCTGGATCGGGCAATGGGCGGCCTCGGCTGCAGACGTGCCTACGGGGAAGGTTGAGGCGCGATGGATCTCTGGTCACCAGGGCTGCTCGTGATGGAATAAGGCTGGACAGAGGTCTGGGGACGAGGACCTGCAGCAGGGCTCGCGAGACGAAGGTGGTCCGTGGCTGGGGCGTCGTTGCGGCTCACGAAGGCGGCAGTGGGCAGCAGTTGCGGGCGACTTGATGGCCGAGAGAAGAATTTTGAGAGAGTGGGTGATTTTTTTGAATTTTTTAGAGCTTATGAGAAATATGAGAGACTACAGTTTTCAAAAATTTCTTAAGGCATGAGAAGGAGGAATGCCGTGTGAGAATGATTAGTGAGGGAAATCATGGTTATTTTTCTTACCATAAATGAGTATCAATTTTCCTTAAAGAGAGGGGGTGAGGGCACGGTTAAAGTCTCCAAGGAGTTGGTCCATACTTCTTAAAAATGAGCCTCCCTCATTTTTGAATTTCAAAATCAAAAGGAGTGCTAAGGACTCAAGGGCTTGGGTCGGTTTTGGTAGGCCAAAGGCAGGATTTACCATCACCTAAGGGCCGAGCATAAAGTGAAAATGCGCCGAGTAAAAGAGTCCAAACGACACGAATCCTAGGTTTGAGAAAAATGTACTAGAAACGGGAAACAGATCGAAAACGGTTCTACGCGATTGAACTTAAACTTACCGAACGAAATAACTAACTAACAATTAGAAATACAATCAATCAAGTGCATACATACACATATAATGCAATCATATAAAAATGAGGCAACTCACATAAAATAAAATGAGCACATAATAACAATTAAACGCAAGCAATAAAATGAAACAAAAGCAAGCGACAAAAAAAAGACAAGAGTTATAATAATATTAATCACAAAAAATTATATAAATCGAAAGGGGCGCTACAATCTACCCTCCTTAAAAGATTTCCCTCCTCGAAAATACAAAATTCAAAAGAGGAAAAATTATTGTACAACCAAGTATAAGGGAGAAACTCAGAACATGAAGTTTGGGTATTTCCTTCGAATATCGATCTCGCTCTCCCAAGTCGGCTCAGCCTCGCCATGGCGGCTCCAATGCACTTTGATGAGATCCATTGCCCGATATCTTAGCTGATGAACTTTCTGGTCCAGTACGGCCACTGGTACCTCCTCATAGGTAAGGTCTCGCTTGACCGGTAACTCAATAAAGTTCACCACGTGCTCGGGGTCATGCACGTATCTCCGCAACATCGAGACATGGAATACGTCATGCACTCCCGATACATCCAACCGATAGGCTAAGTCGCCGACTCGGTCAAGTATCTCAAAGGGCCCAATAAAGTGCGGCTGAAGTTTCCCCTCTTCCCGAAGTGAACCACACCCCTCATCGGTGCGATCTTCAGGACGACATGGTCACCTACCGCAAACTGTAGGTCCTTTCTCCGGCTGTCGACGTAGGACTTCTACCTATCTTGGGCCGTCTTGATCCTCTTTCAGATCTCATCCACCTGTTCCACGGTCTTTTTGATGATCTCTGGCCCAAGAATCTCCCTCTCGCCGACCTCATCCCAATACAACGGGGTTCTAACTCTCTGTCCGTACAATACTTCGTACGGTGCCATCTGAATTGACACTTGATAACTATTGTTATAGGCTAACTCGACCAACAGCAAAGACTCTTCCCAGGGTAAACCCCTATCGAGCACACACAACCTCAATAGGACCACCAAAGTCTGAATTGTATGCTCCGACTGCCCATCGGTCTGAGGGTGATAAGCGGCGCCAAACGTTAAGTTCGTCCCCATGGCACGGGGCAAACTCTTCCAAAACCTACAAGTGAACCGTGGGTCTCGATCGGATACAATCGATGTAGGCACCTGATGGAGCTAGACTATCCTCATCGTCAAACGCACGGGAAGAAAATGGACAGACTTAGTCAATCGATTTACAATGACCGAGATAGAATCCTTCCCACTTCTCGATCTCGGCAATCTGTTCACAAAATCCATTGTGATATGCTTCCATTTTCACTCGGGAATGTCGAGTGGATGAAGCACACCCAATGGTGTTTGGTGCTCAGCCTTAACTTGCTGACACACCAGACAACGATCCACGTACCTCACCACATCCCGTTTCAGTCCTCTCCACCAAAAGGACCTCTTCAAATCCTGGTACATCATCGTACTCCCGAATGGACAGTGTACGGGATATTATGTGTCTCAGAGCCCACACATTCGGAACACAAAGCCTCTGCTCCAAAAGTAAGGCCGCATCAGATGCGACTGCGAATCCTCCTATCCTACCAGCTTCCATCAACTCTCTCATTCGGTGCAGAAAACGGTCGTTCGGCTACTATTCTCTCCCGAAGAGTCGGTCCCACAACAATGCTGTCAAAACACCACTGGCCATCGAAGTTGACTCCACATTCTCAATCTCCATCGAGAAAACTCCCGAACTAACTCCTCCTGCTAAACAATCATACTAGTTAACTCACCTCGACTCCTCCGGCTAAGGGCGTCAAAGACCACATTAGTTTTCCCTGGATGGTAGCTAATCGTGCAGTCGTAGTCCTTGACGAGTTCTAACCATCGCCTCTGCCGCATGTTGAGCTCCTTCTGAGTAAAGATATACTTCAGGCTCTTGTGGTTGGTAAATATTTCGCTCTTCCCTCCGTAAAGGTAGTGCCGCCAGATCTTCAAAGCATGGACCACTGCGGCTAACTCCAGGTCGTGGGTGGGGTAGTTCATCTCGTGAGGCCAACTGCCTCGACGCATATGCCACGACCTTCCCTTGCTGCATCAACATACAGCCCAAACCCAACTTCGAAGCGTCACTATAGATGGTGAACTCCAAAGTCAGATCGGGAATGGTCAACACAGGTGTTGTAGCCAGCCTCTTCTTCAACTCCTGAAAATTGGCCTCGCACTTGGGACTCCAAATGAACCTTGTCGCCTTCTTCGTCAGTTGTGTCATCGGTTGAGCCATCTTCTAAAAGCCCTCGATGAATCTCCGATAGTATCCTGCTAGGCCCAGGAAAGTACGAATGTCGTTGGCGTTCTTCGGTGTTTCCCAGTTGCTCACAGCCTCGATCTTTCCTGGATCTACCTCGATTCCTCTAGCCGTGGCAATATGATCAAGGAAGGCAACACGATCGAGCCAGAACTAGTATTTTGAGAACTTCGCATACAGCCTCTCTTTGCGAAGTGTCTCCAGCACTATTCTCAGATGGTCCTTGTGCTACTCGACGTCTCTCGAATATAACAAAATGTCATCAATTAATACGATGATAAATCGGTCTAGGTATGGATGGAAGACCTGGTTCATAAGGTCCATGAATATCGCTGGTGCGTTGCTCAACCCAAACGACATCACTACGAAGTCGTAGCGACCATACCTAGTCCAGAATGCCATATTCGAGATGTCAAACTCTCTAATCTTCAGCTGATGGTAGCCAGACCTCATATCGATCCTAGAGAAAATACTGGCTCCCCTCGACTGGTCGAATGGGTCCTCAATTCGTGGCAGTGTGTACTTGTTCTTCATCGTAAGGTAAGCTCACGGTAATCGATACACATGCGCATGGATCCGTCTTTCTTCTTCACGAACAACACCGGCGCTCCCCAGGGTGATACACTCTGTGGTATGAAACAAGGTTCAACAGCTCCTGGATCTGCGTCTTGAGCTCTTGTAGCCCCTTCGGTGCCATTCTATGGGGGCCTTCGAGACTTGACCGGCTTCAGGTACTAAGTCGATGGTGAACTCAACCTGTCTTTCCGGCGGTCCCTCTGGCAATTGCTCCGGAAACACAACGTACTCGCATACAATGGACACATCCTCTGGAGACAGCATCTTTGACTCCTATCCCACTATATTCACTAAGTAGCCTTGATAGCTATGCTTCGCCAAACTACGCATCGCCTTCAAGGATGATATAACTCGGGGCACTGTCCTCGACTTCGGCTAGGTGTAAGGTCACCT